CTCTGTCTCAAAAAAAAAAATAATAATAATAAATGTTAAAAAAATTTTAAAAAATAAAAATAAAAAAATAAAAACAGACCAATAGTTGAGTGTTTTTTTTTTTAATTATCAGTATCATGATAAATATCCTGTTAAGTTTTTACAACTCAACCAGTGGAAAAGAAAATGTGATGCTCTTTTTACATCCCTGTGTTGTTTATCCTATTTCTTTCTTGAATATATTCAATGTATTATTATTATGAATGAATGCAATTTGAGATCTTCTGATATTTGGAATGCTTTGTTCCACTTATTAGACTTAGTGGATCAGCTTGGTAGACATGAACATTTTACCTTCAAAACCCCCCTTCTCATGTTGTGGTCCGGAACAAAACAATCTCTTTCTTTCTTCCTTTCTTTCTTTCTCTCTCTCTCTCTCTCCCCCCCTCTTTCTTTTCTCCTTTTATTTTCCATTTTTCTCATAAATAACCTGAATTGAGAAGAAAGAAAATCCAAGGCAAGCCTTCTGGGCATAAGTGTAAAAGCCAAATGCAAGTTCCAAAATCTAGAATCTTCAAAGAACAAACTTTCAGGCTTTGATTTTCCTTTATCCAGTTTGATATGAAGGGTGGCGAGGAGGGGGAGGGAGGAGGTGAGGGAGGCAGGGGAGAGAGAGAGAGAGAGAGAGAGAGAGAGAGAGAGAGAGAGAGAGAGATGCTTTACAGAGCATGCGCGGTATTCACTGTTTTGCCTCAGCTCTCTCCATCTTCAGCACCAGAGAAACTGACAGTTCCACTTAGGCTCGCGGGACTTGCATTCAATCCCAAATCACAGGAAAAGAAAGGAAAATAAAACGTAACAAAAGGAGTAAGGGTTGGAGATCCATAGCACGTACACTTCTGTAAATATCGAACATCTAGCAATGCATGCTGTTTGTTTCGAGCGTTTGCATCAGATCCAGACTCAAGGTTTCCGGGGAAAGACCAGGGCTGGCCCGTGCGGAGTGTGGGTTGAGCAGCATCTCTGCAGGAGGTGGGAAGGAACCCGAGGAGGTGGCCAGATTGGCTGCCTTGGTTAGGAATCCTCTTGCGGCTTCTCAGAAATACGTCTAAGGATTTTTTTCATGGCCTCGCTTCACCTCCTACAGGCGCAAAGGAGCAGAGCGAGTCACTGTGCTGAATATAACTGGTCCACTGCATCAGTTCTACATCTTATTCTTTATTGCTTCTGGACGTTGCGTTTAAATAAAATCTCTCCTGCTCTCAAAATTATACTTCTGAATTGTATTATGATGTTTCATAGCTGTTAAAAAAAACTTTTCCACCACACTTAAAATATTATCAAAGGAACACATGCAACAAAACGCACACATCTTAAAATTGTGGCTCAATGAATTTTTTACACATGTATATTCCATATGTATAAGACTAGCATGTGTATATCATCCAGATAAAGATATAGAACATTTTCCAGGTGCTCCCTCCCAGTGGCTGGGTCATCTTCCCAGTCAATACTACCCCTAGGTAAACATTATTCTGTCTTCTGTCACAGTAGACTGTGCCTGCTCTTGAAGCTCACATAGTATGTAGTATGTTCTATTTAACATGTGGTTTATCTTACCCAGTATAGTGTCTGCAAGATGTATCCATGTTGCTGCATGTAGCAGTAACTCCTTATGTTTTATTGCTGCACATGGTTTTCCACTGTGGTGTTCAATATACTACATATTATTTAGCTGACATGAATATATTGGTACATGTTTTTTGGTGGACATATGTGCTTATTTCTCTTAGTTATCTGACTAAAAAATGGAATTTTTAGAAGGTATATGTTTAGTGATAATAAATATTACTAATAGATTTTAAATGTAGTTGTATCATTTTACCACCATTAGCTATGAGTGAGGTCCATACATAACTTCAGTGAAATGTGGCCATATCACTCTTTTTAATTATAACCATCCTGATATTTTATTCCAATTTTAATTTCACTGCGCTCCTTCAAATTCTTACTAACCATCATAATATTTTATGAACTGTCATTCAGGTCTTTTGGCCATTTTAAAACTAGCCTGTTCATCTTCTTTTTGTTTATAGAAGCTCATTATGTATTTTTATATGAGTCCTTTAATGTGCATTTGATGAATATCTTCTCTCAGTCAGTAGTTTGCCTTTACTATTCTCTGAATAGTTTTTTTTATGTTCAACAATTTATTTTATTTATTTTTTATATGAAATTTATTGTCAAATTGGTTTCCATACAACACCCAGTGCTCATCCCAACAGGTGCCCTCCTCAATGCCCATCACCCACTTTCCTCTCCCTCCCATTCCCTATCAACCCTCAGTTTTCTCTGAATAGTGTTTTATGGACATTAATGCTTTGTGTACTATGCAATAAACCATTGTCTACTCAGACATTGTAAATATAGTCTACCATGTTTTCTTCTAAAAATGTTAGAAAAAAACTCGTGTTTTAGGTCTAGATTTCATTTCTAATGTTAGTGGATGATTTTATTTATGAATAATTATTTACTTTTATGCTGACAATTAACTGACCTAGAATGATTTATTTAAAACACCATCTTTTTCCCACTAAATTTGCATAAATCAGATGAACATATATGAATGCATCTTTTTTTTCTGGGCTCTATTCTCAATCTCTTTGTCTATACTTGCACCATTACCACACTTTTTAAAATTACTAAAGCTTTAAAATGGTTCTTAATATAAGTATTATTTTTAGTACTTTGAATTTATTTCTTTGGTTGCTCTAGGCTGTTTGCATTTCCATAGAACTAAGCTTACCCCAAAATTTTAAACTATCTACTCCAAATTTTCCACAAGCTTAAAAAAGAAACTGATAAAAATAATACAAAAATTCAATATGATAGAATTTACAGTCCATAGTTGAAATTTACTAATGTTCCAATTACATCTTCAATAGCATTTACCCTTGTATACCCTAAGATCGCATTCAGGGTGACAGTGTTTATCACTTATTGTGTCTCTTTAGTCTATTTTTAATCTAGAACATTTCTTGTCCTTTCTTAGTCTTTCATAACATTGATAGTTTCAGTAGAGAAAGTGATTTTGTAGAATGCACCTTAATTTGGATCTCTGTTCTGTTTTCTCATGTTTAGAATCAAGTGATGCATTTTTTGGCAGAAATCTGACATAAATAATGTTGCTTTTCTCAGTGCATCACATAAGAAGCACATAATGTTGGTTTGTCCTATTATGGATCATGTGGTTAAATTGTTATCTGTCTGTTTCTCCATTGAAGTTACTTTGTTGTTGTTGTTTTTTTCTTTTCTTTTTGAATGGTTAACTCTTTGGGACAAATTCTTTGAAAATATTTAACTATTTTAGTTTAGCTTATATTGATGGTTCTTGCCTGCTAGTTGTAAAAGGTAATTTTGTTGTTCTTTCTACATTTATGAGTTGGTATGCTATAAGAAAGCACTTTCCCTCTTCCTCTTATTATTTATAGCATAGACTCATGGTTTCTTGTCTTATTCAATGCATTTAATTCATTACTGTAATTATTTATTGTTATTCTCATATTATCCAAGATTTAGAGTAGAGTCTCTTTAAGCTGACTCCTGACTCCTTTTACTATGTCCTCTATATCCCCAATATGGTTTTGAGCACCTTCTTACAAGATTTTCCAGATCTTTCCATAATTTTCTTTTCCAACCCTTGAAGCCACAATTTGTTCCTGGTTCCTTTTAATTGGGAATGATATTTAGAAAACAAGATCTAATTATTCTGAAATACCATTGCTTTGAGGCTTTCTAGAGGACTGAGCTTATATAT